GAGGACGCTTACACCTCATACGCGCCTTAATCGGCTTGGTGCTTGGAGCAGACGCCTACCCGGCCTACTTCCTTCGGCCCTCTCGTGGCACAAAACAGCATATTCGGCTGGCTATTGTCAGGCGCTTGCCGATCTTAAACTATGTATGACTGATATGTAGTTTTTTTATACTATATAATTTATTTACATTTGTTCCAATATGAATTATGGAAACAAATGCTATTTATTGAAATTTGAATAAATATATACGAAATTTGTGCACTGAAATGTCAAGCCATGTTCTGTTTATTTAATTTTTTTTCTTCTACAGCCTTAGGAGACAGACACGCTCACCAAAAAGTGGCAGCTGCGGATCCAGCTATCCAGCTTAAGGAGAACCAATAACGCTAATAATTTTATAATCCTTTTATTTTATTCATAGGTAGGGGTAATGGCTGAATCGCTCTACTGCTGTTGCGTATAGCAAGGGGGCCGGCATGTTTAGGCCTCCAAGCTCAACCAAATGATTAAAAAGGGTGCACTAACGTAAAAGTGCACTTACATGCAACCGAGCATGCACACATACATACATGTGTATATATATGGCCAAATAATTGCTACGCCGTTAGCAAATACACATGAATGTCCTTTTTATTTTACCTTCCTTTTATTAACTCGGGATGTAACTATGTAATATTGAAGCGCCTAAAAGATGCAGCGATTTCTATTCTCAAGTTACATACCTGCTGACAGTACGAATGGTAATTATAATAGGGAGGTATTAGTTTTTTAAACTATAATTTTATTCCGTTTGAATAAGGTTTCGTTAAGTTTCCCCTCCAAACAGTTGTCTGCTTGGCGGGTAAACTCATTTCTATTTAAACCGAGCTCGGCCACTTCTATCGAGCACTTCGACCACACCGGAAGCGATCCAGCCACTACTCCTGCGTATTTCTCAAGGTAATATTGTACACCAAAAATCACAATACTTGGTTTCTCTACCGCTATTATTTTCATGTAATATTCTATGAGCTCCATGCTAGAGACGAAATGAAGAGAATTCATTAAGATTATCCGTCCCCATATTATCCGGGAACAACGTTCTAATGAATAAGTGAACAGAAAAATGTATTCCGAATGTTCGAAATGGGGATAAAGAAACTCTCGCCGAGTTACGGTTGCCAGACGTACTGATTTGATCAGTACAGCACTGATTTTCAACTCTTGTACTGATTTTATTCACTTCTTCAATCAGTACGCCAATGTCCTGATTTTTCAAAATTTGTACTGATTTGTACTGACTTTTCAATTCAAACAAAATACTTAAATATTTTCTTAAGGTTTTTACATCACGTTGGAACTTCCTTAAACTGTACTGTCAAAAGTAAGAAGAAAATAATTTAATTATAGTTCACATGTTTCAGATAATGTTTGATATACCCAAGAAATTAGTAGAACAATAAGATCAATCGTATTATGGGCATATCGCCGGATCGTTACATTCCAGTTGCGATAATATAATGGAGCTTAAATTATTAAAAAGAAGGCTGACTTTTTTTGTCGAGTGTTAGTAATCTCGAAAATAACTTTCAGTTTAATAACAATAAATATAAATATTCGAATGGCTTTTGCCTATAAATCGAATCGTATTCTTTTTTCATAATTTGCTGATATTGTAAAAGAGTTTTGCATACAAGACATAGAGTTAGATACTCTTTTCAGCGAATTCTTAGTCTTTAAAAGTTTTTGCGTATCCCAAAAAATTAGTTTCAGCAATGAGGAAATATGGATGAAGTCCTTAAATAGTGGTACTTTTCCACAGTTTGAAATAATCATACGTATTACAGTATCCGACGGATGCCGTCCGCACGGATCCAATCCGATTCGTACTGTCATAACAACCGAGTGTGAAGGATTAGATTCTTGTGAATGACATCCGTGGGATACATGCCTATTCCGGTCCGCAGGATGTCAAACGCCTGAGTCTAATCCTTAAACCTCGCTTGTTATGATAGTGCGAATCGGACTAGATCCGTGCGGATGACACACTTAAACGAAGCAACTGAGGGTATTAAGTTTGCTTCCTGGCTCAAAGAGAGAAACCTGCTTCTAGTTAAAATTTTTTAATGTGAACTTCAAATTAAAAGTAATTATTAAATGAATTGTATAGAATTCTTTGACTATTTAAACACTGAAGATGGAAATGATCTCAGTATTGCTATTCAAAAATGTCAATTTCACGTTTATTTCAATTTTAAGTGAAAAATGATTTTAGTTTTTTGAATTTTATATGGAAATTGACAAAAAATAAAAAATCATTTTCCATTTAAAATGTTGGTCAAACCGGCTGTTACATTCATAATTTTGCTTTGAATAAAAATGTACTGAAAAGTACTGATTTTTTTAGCATGAAAAAGTCTAACGTACTGATTTCGCGCACAAAAAAATCTGGCAACCCTACCCCGAGTGTTAACATTGTTACGGTAATTTTCCAGTCTACGGACATTTAGGAAAATCATTGGTAGTCATCAAATTATTTCGTCAAGCGGCAATCAAATAGACGCATTTTAAAACCCCAGTATTACGAACAGCGTTGCCGTTTTGATACAATCGTTTACTTTATTTTCCAAAATTTTAAGATTTGATACTTTGATACTTTTTTGTTCACGAATGCCCCATTTTGATACTTTTGGCCGGCAGAAATGAATTTTTGAAAACTGTTCAATATGATTAAGTCACTTAAGTACTTTAGAATTAATGCAACC